TGGAGGATGTCTCTGGCGCCGCGGCCTTCTCAGAGCGTCCCTGCACGCGCGGAGAGCGTTCCGGAACGCTCAGGAACGGATCTATCATCGTCCCAGCCCCGCTGGACAGAAGCAGCCTCCACGCAGCACGCTTCGTCACCTCGTCCGGCCCGAGGTCTCCCCGAGAGCCTGGCTCCCTCAGGACTCGGCGGCCCGCGCAAAGGTGGCGCGTGGAGGGGTGCCGCGAGGGGCGGACTTCTCAGTGTGCGGGGGGACTTCTGGGAGGGCAGGCGGCTTCTGACGGTCAGAACTGGTACTCCAGATTTCGCAACAAAAGGGAGGGGGTCTGGACCCTCCAAGACAAGCCATTTCAGACCTCCCCCGTGGGAAAACCCTCCAAAACATCGTCCCCAGACCCCCGCAGGCACTCCAAGATAGCCTGGAAGAGACCCCCCCCCCCGAAATGAGACCCCCCTCCCTTGTATTACGAAATCTGGAGTAGTAAGGATGCACGGTAAGAAGGCAAGCCCCTCGCTCAGAGGGTGCTGAAGGTGCTCCTGGCTCAAGGTGCCCCCAGCGTTTCGCTCAATCTTGGAGCCTTTAGGGCCCTCTGGGACTTTTTTTTTTAACCCCAGTTCTCGCTGAGTTCTTTAGTTCACCTGTCGGAAGGTGGTGGGCAGGCCAGCCCAGCAGTTCAAACGTGGACCGCACCAGCAGTTAGGATCATGTTGGGAGCACCCACCTGCCACGCGGCGTACCTGGAGCACGCATCGGCTTTGGGGCCCTCTGGGACTTGTGAGGGATGCTCTGGAGGCCTTGGGGGCCTCCTTGGAAATCCCGGGGGCACCTTGGGCCAGGGGCACTTCTAGCAACACCCGACGTGTAACGCCCATGTCGAGGCTCTTCGAGCGGGGCTGGCCATCGAAAATGACCAAGGATGGACCGACGAGGCAAGGATGCAAGGGTTACCCTTGGGAAGGTTCGAGAATTTTTCACAACGTCGACCCCCAGAGGTCTGGACTGGCTTCTCATCCTGAGTCGTTGTTTGACTGTCCCGAGGCTAGGTAAGGGCCCCTGGAAGCCGAAAATTGCGAAAAAACGCCCGTCGCGATTGTTTCCCAACGCGAGGAGACCCATCCGTATCTTCAGTTTCGACTGAAAGCACGCATTGAGGGGCTACGAAAGGGGGGCTGGCATAGGGAGGGAAACATCAACTTGGAATCGGCGATACACCGCCGATAGATCGGCGATAGGCCCCCGATAGTGAATCCGCACGTTCCTGGGCAAGCTGGGGCTATCGGGCACCTATCCGCGATAAATGGGCGATTGGGGGTCGCTGCATCCCCCACTATGCCGGCCGATTCCGCCCCACCAGCGGCGTTCGACCTAAACCCCGGCGCCGGGCCGCCGAGTTGGCGCGGCGTGAACCTGCCGTAGACTTCAGAGCTTTGGAGCTCTTAGTTTCCTGATTGCAGGCCCCAAAATCCTGAATTCATCGAAGTTGAGGGTGCCGCTGGAGTCGGTGTCCGCTAGGGTCATCTTGGCGGTACCCGCCTCGCCCTTGCAGGCGGGGATGAAGGAGGAAGACGGAAGGAGGAGGAAGGAGGGACAGAAGGAGAAATGATGTTCTCGATTGCAGTCTAGGCTTTACAGGAGCGCGCCTTCGCTACCACAGCGCGGCCTAGCCTGCAAATATAGAGGGCAAACAAACCTACCTCGCTTTTGACCACCCTCGCTTCCAAGAGATACCAAGCGATGCCAAGCTGCGGCATGTACTGGTCAGGCCGCTTGACGAGGAGGCGTATGGTATGACTTGGTTTTGCCTGGAAGCGAAAGCGGGGTAGGTAATTCACGCTCTGAAAATAGCCCTTCCCACCCAAGAGCGAGAGAGAGCGAGAGAACAAAGAGAGAGAGAGAGAGAGAGAGAGACGTGGCCCCGCTCCACCAGGGACCTGTGGGAACGCCCTGGCAAGCGTCGCTTGGCTGGTAGGAGTGAGTAAGGAAGAAGAGGAGGAAGAAGGCGGAAGCCAGGTCTGCTTTCCAACTACTTGGCCTACTCCTTACCAGAAGAAGGACATTGCCCATCTTGAAAGGCGTTGCCCCCCTCCATCTGGGTGACTGCACAAAGGCAAGTAAACGCAGCGTGCGCCAGAGGACACAAAGCAATCCAGCGCCTGTGGGGGTGCGTGGGAACGAGAGATAATCTGAATGAGAGGGACGGCCCAAATAGCCAAAGCGAGCGGTGCAGAGGTAAGGAAAACTACATGACCATAGGCTGCCAGATCTTCGCGAGGATTTCTGGCATCGGCACTGGACGCCCCTTCCTGGCGCGCGGAGCGCGCTAGGGTTGGCGGCGGAGGCGCTGTCAAGCGGGGCAGCGCCGATACAAGAAATCCGCTCGGAACTCCAACTATGGCGTTGCTCTGCCTCTTGAGAACAAGATGGGGGGCCACCAATCCGTCAATGGAACTGCTGACTGAATGTGGCACGCTTCCAGGCGAGGCCACTCTGGCCACGATGGCGGTTGGAACATCCTGGACAGCACTGAAGCAAAGGAAAAGCTGGACGCCCGAGAGAGGAACCGCCGGCAGCTGCTGGACGGAAGGCAGAGGGCGACAAGGACTTCGGCGCGTCTGGGGGGCGGGGGGGAGCAGAGGTAATGGGGAACGATCTAGGATTAGGTCGATCATGTTCTCCTACGGTCGGATTGCGAAATCTCAAAAATAGTCCAATAATCAAACAATATTATAAACATCGTCCCCGCAGCATTCTTTGACTATTCTTGACTGTTCCTCCGGGGGAGGGACGTGCCCGACTTGAGTCTGGGGGGAACGCCGGCTCTGGGGTGAGGGGGAGGAGGGGGAGGAGGAGGAGGAGGAGGAGGGAGGAGGAGGAGGGGAGGAGGAGGAGGAGGGGAGGAGGAGGAGGAGGAGGAGGAGGAGGGAGGAGGAGGAGGAGGAGGAGGAGGAGGAGGAGGAGGAGGGGGGGGGGGGGGGGAACCGTCGACCTGGCAGCGGCGGCACGTCGCCGAAGCACCCGCGAGCTGGGCCCCGGACGGAGAGGGTCCGCGCGCCCCTGGGCAGGGCGAGGTACTCGGGCCCCCCTACACCCTGCGAAATGCTTAAGAAATCATGGGTTAAGAAATTCATAGTCTCAGAACTTGAATAAAAAAAACCCGACATGTCGATCAAAATCTTAAGGTTTACACTGAAACGTTCAGAATAATGGAGACTCTGACCGAAAACTCAAGTTTTCTTAAGCATCGCCCAGGGTGTACGGTGGGGGGGCATTGGATAAGGAAGCCTTCGATAGGGAATCCAGGGTCTGGGCGCCGGTGGAAAGCCAATCGTGGACTGGCCACGGAGAACACCACCGCCCTCCTCAGAGAAGGAACCCTCCGGGGTCTGAAGCCCCCTGGGCGCATTCCTGAACCAACACCCCCACCGTATCGGCGATCCATGGGCGATCAGGGGGCGATGCGTCCCTCCCGGAGCCTGTTTCCCCCCCTGACGTTGCCGCTGCCCCTGAAGAGGGAGTTAAGGAGGAGGAGGAGGAGGAGGAAGAGGAGGAGCTCCAGCAGACACGCAAAAAAAACGCCCCCTTGAGGACCTGCTCTTCCTCAAAGCTCACACGCATTCCGGTGCCCAGGTTCTTATCGCAAGGAGAAGAAGGAGGAACAGTGAACAGCAGCGGCAGCCACGCAAGAAGATGGAGCCGCATCCTTGAAGACCTTCCCCTCCTCGAAGCTCAAACGCATCTCGATGCCCAGGTACTCATCGCGGGTCAGCTCGCCAGACTCGTCGAGGTCGTAGGCCTTGAAGAGCTCCTGCCAGCGGGCCACTGCCGCTGAACACGCGCGAGCAGACGGGGTCTGCTGCCAGGCAGGCAGTGAAGCCGCGGCCGAGGAGACCTCGGGTAAGGAGTGCAGCCCCCGGACCTCCGAAGATCTGATCTTGTCGGCTGTAATGTCCCTCGATGTCGTCGTCGTCCTCCTCCTCCTCCTCCTCCTCCTCCGGCCCTCTGGGGCTCTTTCCGGGCCAGGGGACCATCAGACATCGATCTGGGGGTAGCCTTTCGTCCCAGATCGATGTCTGATAGTCCCCTGGCCCGGAAAGAGCCCCAGAGGGCCGGAGGAGGAGGAGGAGGAGGACCTCGCCTCAGAACTTGACTGCCCCCCCGAAGGAGGACGGCTGCTCCGGACTGCACAGTGTGGGCGCTTAACACACCAGGGGCCAGCGCGGTGCCACGCTGTCGAGCGTCGCTGATAAGGACCCCCCCACCAAAATCTGACCGCTTTCTCACGGACGGACCTGCCTACGCTGGGCGTGACTTAACGGGGGGTCATAAACGGGGGGGTCAGAAACGGTGCCCTTTCGTGCCCCTTTCGTGCCCCTCCGGAGCCCCAGGGGGCTCGTTCAGGTACCGCTTGGGCACCTTTTCGGACCACCCTCGCCACCCCCCCCTATTTACGATCCCCCCATTAATTACGCGACGCCCAACTACGATGAACCAAGACTATGCTATGGCCAGCCCGCTCCCCCGCTGTGGCCAGGAATGCAGGAGGTGCCCCGAGGGCGACGGGTCCGGGACCTCTCGGCGGCGGGCCCAGGCGGGAAGTCGGGCGGCGCGGGCCTTCCCACGCGGGTCGGACGGCCTCTCTGGCCATCGCTCGGACCGTCCATTCCCTGTGCTTTTGTTCGGTCTCGTGCGTGGCTTTTTCGCCAAATGATCAAGGATGATGCTCCTCGATGGTCCTCACCGAAGGAAAAATGCACACGTCCGAGCGATGCCAAGGCCTCTGGCCTTCTGAGGAGCTATCTGCAAGCCTTCTCCGAGGACGGAGAAGACTTCCTCAGAAGGCGCGAGGGCTTCCGAGAAGCCCCCGCCGCCATTCTGAGAGTTCGAGGCTTCTAGGCTTCTGGGTTGGCCCTGCGTGCGCCCCCCCCCCCAAGGAAGGGGCCCACGAAGTCCAGGGCCGCCTTCTGAGAAAGGCCTGCTCCCTCTGAGGCGACAAAAAAGTAGCGACACCGCTGCTCCACGAAGAACCCTCCCAAGGTGCGCTCCGATCAGAATCTGGACTGGGCCCCCGAATTATCCAGGGTAGCTCGGGCACGGGGTAACTCGGGCTCGGCGAAGCCAGCGGCGGCAACGAGGGCCTCCCGGGAGGCCCCAAATAGCGAGAACGCGAGGCGAGGCTCTCGTGGTATATCGATGACTCGCCTCGTTCTCGAGGGGGAACGAGACGAGGGAGATATGTCGACCCCTAGCCCAGGCTTCGTGGTGTTTTCGCATGGGCCCCCCAACAAAAATTGCGGCCCGACCCTAGGATATACGAGAGAGGGGGGGGGGCGCCCATCCTGGGCAGGAGTGCGTCCGAAGAGCCCCCTCGGGGTGCATCCAAGGGTCTCCCCCTCCTCCTCGGAGCGGCCTCATGTTTCGTCGAAGCGTTGGGGATTTGGGGAACAAAAACCGCCTGCGACCTATCTCCCTTCCTGGAGAGCCCATAATTAGAGGCCTCCTCGACGGGGTCCGACTAGATGGGGTCGGAGGGTCGAGCCAGATCCCCAATACATCGGCGATGCATTGGCGATGCATCGGCGATGCATCGGCAGTGCACCGGCGACGCATCGTCGATGTCGGCGATGCATCGGCGTCGTCGCCGTGAAGCACATCGGGCTCCACATCGAGCCGCGTCGGCGATGCATCGGCGATGCGGTGCGATCCTCCGGCCCCGTCTACTCCGCCCCCAGCTAGGAGGCCTGGAATAATCGAATCGATAAAGTCGGATCGGCGATCGGAGTGACTCGACTCGGCGGAAATCGGCAGCCAAGTCGGGAGAAAGCGAATCGGCAGCAATCGGCAGACCGGCAGGCCCCCGTTGAGGAATCGGAGACCACATCGGAATGCGAAGGCGAACGGAATCGGAGAACGAGGCCATCGAAACCGAACCGAATCGAGTCGGAAGACGGGCGACGAGCCCCGCTCCCCTCCCTCTCGCCTCCCCCCCCCCTGGGCGCGCCGCCGAACCTCGGGGCGTCCCCGAGGACTGGCCGGCCTCGTCATCCCCGGGGGGCCGCTCGGTGCACAGGCCAACAGAAAGGGGGGGTCCGCGGAGGGCCGCACGAGCAAGAGACCTGCGAGCGAGCTGCGCCGGGAGCAAAAGGCCCCAGACATGATCGCGTCGTGAAAAAACCAGAACGGCAAATCTTGTGGCCATTTTCGGCGTCGGGGGGGCCCTCGCCGGGCCTCGGGACCGTCAAAAAACAAGTCAGGATGAAAGACCGGCCCGTTGGAAACGGTCTGACTGGAAAAATCAAAACGTCGCACGTCTGGGACGGCTCCCCGAGGTGCTGTTGTGGACGCCCGAAATGGGTACAGGAAAGATGGGCACGATGCCCAACGGCAAATTTTATCCAAAATCGACAGCGGCCGCTGTTGGGCAGGCGGCTTTTTGTCTTCAGTGAACAACGTCCGCGGCGGCGCGGACGGCGAGTCCTGATCAAAATTAACAAGAACTGCTGTTGGGCATTGTGCCCATTATTGCCGTACCCATTTCGATCGCCCCGAACTGTGCAACAATATCTGTTTTTCTCTGCAGGCCGGCAAACATGTGATCCGCATGCTCAAGATGATTGCCAGTGCTCCGTCAGGGCGCGGCTTCGTTCTTCTTTCCTCCAGGGCCCGCTTATCATCACTCGAGCAACGACAGCAAAAAACGAGGTCGACTGCGCCGACATTGGCGCGCAAGCTGTCCGCATGGAGGGCGCGCATAAGCGCCCTCGTCTCCAACGGAACGCGCCGCGCTGGCGGTGTAAGCCGCCGCGCAAGGTCGCTACGTCATCTCGCGTAAGTCGATCGAGACATCCACGGAGAACGACCCAAGTCCCAAAACCTTGCGGTCACCTCGAGGAATCTCCACTGACGCACTAGGCCGCGTGGTGTCCGCACAGGCTGGAGGCGCCCGAAAGAGGAAATCCAGCCGTGGCGACGAGGACGGCCCTAGGGCCCGGGAAGGGCCCCGAGAGTTCTATTGCGCCCGTCGCACTCAAGGACCACATCACCAACAGCGTCTGCCCGAAACGCCAGCGAAGTGTCGAGCGAATGTCGTCTCCCAGGGCCCGACACGGAAACACCTCCCCAGCGGTGTCGCCCTTCGGGGACCTCCAGGCCAAAGCACTCGATTTTTTCTGGTGCTCAAAAAATGCTTGGGCTGTCAATGAACCCCTGTATAGGTCTTTAGAACCGCCCCCAACAGTTGGAAACTGATTTTCTTGTTGGCGACCTTATAAACGGTCTGGGGTCCCACCAACAGTGGAACATCTCCGCGGCACCCGCCGCGCAACAACGATAACGACGACTACGACAAAGGAGGAGGAGGAGGAGGAGGAGGAGGAGGAAGAGGAGAAGGACGAGGAGGAGGAGGAGCAAGAGGAGCAGGCGGAGGAGGAGGGGCGAGTCTTGCCCCCCGCCGAGAGAAACACGGGGGGGGGAGCAGAACGAAAGACCTCCTGAGGCTAGTTGCAGACTGGAGCAGCAAAACCCGCGACGCCAGGAACGGCGAGATGTCACAGGACCTCCTCTCCCTAAGGAGCCTCTCCCTTCGAGGCACCGGCGGCCGCTCCGCCAGACCCGGGCCAGGCGTCGGGCTCGGGCACCGCCGACGCTCAGGCCGACGGCCGACTCTGGAGACCCTGAGCTCCGCTGCAACGAGAAAACTGCACCACGGCGAAACATCACGACCGGACCCAGAGACCTTAGATGCCGGGAAATGGGCACCAACACCAACACAGGGGGGTGCCTCCACAGGGGGAAGGTCATCCTAGATTTCGGTGGTGGTAATATCTCGGTCACCTTGGAAGCCAGAATATTACCACCGTCACCGAGATCGGGATCTCCTTCCCTCGGTGGAGGCACACCGCCGATACTGGTGTTGGTGTCAACCTCGAGGCCTGCGAAGACCCCAGCTTCCTGCGCCCTTCTCCGGGCCGGATCGATCTGTGATGCTCCCAGGGCCCGCAACCAGGCCAGAGCATCCGTCTCGGAAAGTATCCTCAGGTCAGGCATGTCCCCATGCAGGCGCTTTTCGATGTTATATTTTTTTCGCTTCGGAGAAAAAGTCCAACAACAGTCAACGATAATAGAAACATCGTCCCCTGACTGTTTTCGGACTGTTCCCCCTGTACAGGGACACGCCCAACTGAAGGCTACCCCTTGCAAGGCACCCTGGGAGCAGCCAGGGTGGAGAGGCGGGTCGAGGAGATAAATCCAACAACGGTCAAAAATAATAGGAAAGTCGTCCCCTGGCTAGTTTCTGACTGTTCCCCCTGTAGAGGGGCACGCCCAACTGAAGGCTACCCCTTTGCAGGGCACCCTATAGGAGCAGCCAAGGTGAAAGGGCGGGTCGAGGAGCAGGAGGTCGACGCGCCACACCGTGCCAGGACAGGGGGGCGAGAGCAGGGCCGCGCGCACCTCGGCCGTGCTGCTCCCAGCGCCCTCCTCCTCCTCCTCCTCCTCCTCCTCCTCCTCCTCCTCCTCCTCCTCCTCCCCCTCCTCCTCCTCCTCCCCTCCTCCTCCTCCTCCTCCTCCTCCTCCTCCCCCTCCTCCCCCTCCTCCTCCTCCTCCTCCTCCTCCTCCTCCTCCTCCTCCTCCTCCTCCTCCTGCTCCCAGCGCGCGTAAGGACCACATCCCAGACAGAATCTCGAGCACCCAGCAGAGCACAGCCCTCCCGTATCGCAAGGATGTGCGATGAGGATGCAGGGGCCTTGGCCGCCCACTTCGAAGCTTTTCGAGCGGGGCGCGGCCAACGAAAGTGGCCAAGGATGGGCCGAGGAGGCAAGGATGCAAAAGGTACCCTTCGGCGTTGGACACACCTCCCTTTAGTAAACCACCCTTAATTGAAAACGGCCCAGGACCGAAACCGACGGACCTGGACCCGCAGAAATGACGGCCGCGACGCCCTCTCGCGAGCCGAACACGGCCAATTCACTAATCGACGTGTCAGGGTAGGAGGTCTATCAACCTCCGAACCCTTGGGAAGGTCGCCCATCCTTACGACTGTATCGAAACAATGTCGAACGAGTATGGCTTCCCAGGGCCCGTCACGTGAAAACCATCAGGATTCAACACTTTCTCGGTGCTTGAAAATCTTTCTGGGGATCAAGGCTGAAACAAGTCAGAACCTCATAAACCTTAGTGTATTTCTGTTACACAGGGGACCATGGCAGTCCAGACCACTAATGTTTACGCATGTTGCATTATCGGGGGACTTTGTCTGTCCCGTCGCGGCCCTGTCCGCGTCGAATCCGTGTCGAATCCATGTTGGACTCGTTGGATCCCGTGCCGAACCCGCGTCGAATCCAAGCCAAATTCGCGTCGAGTCCGCGTCGAGCCCGCGTCGGGCACAAGAAAAGATACCCAACTTGGGGTACAGGCGCGGTCCCCCGAAGACGCAACGTAACAATGTGGCCAACATTGATGGGACGCACAGAGACATACTAATACTATATGTCCGCCTTGGAGGCGCGCGTCAGATCCGAACATATAGTATAACCATCTTGTAGTATATCGTTTCCCGAGCGGTGTGGCCAGAAAGCGCCCACCACGACGCATATACTATAAGATTTCTCGGTGCGCGCGTCGCCCCTGGGGGGGCGACGCACATATAGTTTGAATATGTTGGGGTGACGCCGAAGGGAGGCGGAAGCGGGGGGGCGGGGAGGGCAGGAAGGTTACGAGGCAACTGCTGGGAAGTTTATGCTGCATCTTCGGGTGCCCCTCTCTGTCTTTTTGCGCCCCCATCGGCGTCGGATCCGTGTCGGATCCACGTCGGACTCGTCAAGTCCGCGTCGAATCCACGCCGAATCCTCGTCGATAATATGGCCAACACTGAGGCGGGAACACGATTCCTGACTAAACCGTGAGAAGTCTCGGGCGAAAAGGCTGCCGGACCGCTTCCAGGCCCAGCGGCCTCAGGCTCCCCGCCCCCCCATGTGTGGAACCCTTCTGCGGTACTTGTGATACACCTGCAAGCATTCTCTAGCTAGAGGCCTCCTAGATTTGTAGATGTCACGACAATGGGCACACTAAGAGTCCTATCATCGACATTAACATCTGCTTAACATGTCGGAACACAATGTAAGCATGTTTTAAACATGTGTTTTACATGCTTAAAGCATGCTTAACACATGTTTTAGACATCTGGAAAATATTTGGCAACATGCTTCCTCTCCATTGATCGTCCTCCACAAACCTACAAGCAATCTAGCTAGAGGCCTCCTAGATGGGGTCCGAGTAGATGGGGCCGAGGGGTCGCGCCGCATCGCCGATGCATCGCCGATGTATCGGCGCTGCATCGGCGACGTCGGCGTGGGGAAACACGGGCTCCAAATCGAGCCGCATCGCCGATGCATCGGCGATGTGGCGTGATCCTCCGACCCCATCTACTTCGACCCCGTCTGGGAAGCATAGAGTAGCGAAGCGCCTGGACCTCAGGGCGCCCTGCGACCCAGACATGTAGCGCTCCGATGCGTTCACCCCCAGAGGTCTGCAAAACTTCCTGCAGCTCCAGCTTTTCATCCTGAGTCGTTTTGTGACTCGGCTGCACGCAAGAGGTGACCCCGGGTAAGAGTGACCTTTGGTGCGCGGCCTCTCGGGCGCCGCGGGGGGACCAAACACAGGCGCGTGAGACGCTACTGTCGCATCGTGCTCGGCGATGTGTGGGCCCGCACCCAACTCCTCCTCCTCCTCCTCCTCCTCCTCCTCCTCCTCCTCCTCCTCCTCCTCCTCCTCCTCCTCCTCAAGGTCACTCCGGCGAAGGGTCACTCTTGCGCGTAGTCGAGTGACGATCCCGGGCCCCATTGAGGGCCCCCGGTCCCGAGACTGGCCCCCCCAAACAGGCCGCTCCAGTGCATGCCAGAGCCTCGGAGCTCTGTGGAGCGGCGCGTCTCCTCTATGGCCGCCTCGACCTTAGGGTTAGATCGGGCATGTCCCCCTACAGGAGGACTTTGGACGAACAACTGAAACAACTCCAAACAGATTCAACAATTGTCAACTAATAATAAGAAAATCGTCCCCTGGCACTGTTTGGACTACTTTTGAACATTCCTCCTGTAGAAGGGCACGCCCGACTTAACCTTAGGGGGCAAACCACGCCACAATCACAAAAACTCGGAGGTCCGCGCGGATCCCTTGGATCGGCGCTCGGGGCCCCTGGCGGCGCCTCCAGCGCTGACCCTGGCGCGCTGCAGGGTCGGGAGACGCAAGAGTCGGGTTAGGGGGGCTCGGGTTGGCCTAACTTGGCGGCGCGCACAAGGGGGTGGAGGGAGGGGGGAGGGCTTCTTGGAAGGAGGCTGCTTCTTAGAAGGCGCCGGCATTACATCTATAGATAACGCCCGCGCCTTCTAAGAAGCAGGGGTGCTTCTAAGAAGCCCTCCCCCCTCCCACCACCACCCTTTGCGCGTGGCTGGCTACTGGGACCATCAGGAAAATGACGACACCTACACTGAAACGTGACGCGATCTCCCGCTGCAAGCATCCTACGAAAACTGGGCCATCCAAAGTCCGGGACGCGCTCGTCAAAGAGCGCAAGCGAACACAAAATCCAACGCACTCGAGTCTTACGTTTCCCCGACAGGGAGGGGGGGTCCAGCAGCGATCCGAGGGGGGGGGAGGAGGGAAAGAGGAAGGAACAGCGATGAGAAACGAGGGCGAACGAAGGAGGTCGCATGGCAGACGAGGATGAGGACGAGGCGGAGGAGGACGATGAAGAGGGGGGGAGGAGGAGGATCTATGGGATCCTGTCGCGAGCACAGCGTGCACAGAGAAATCCGCGCGGCGCGGCGCGTATCGCTGACCTCCTTTCTGCTACACACAAGAGTGACCTCTAGTGCGCGGCTTTTCGGGGGCCGCGGAGGACCAAGCACAAGCGCGCAAGACGCTACTGTCGCATCGCGCTCGGCGATCGGGGGACCCCAATGGACCCGCACCAAAGGCCACTCTGGCGAAGGTCACCCTTACGCGTCTCCGACGGCTTTTTCTCGTGAATTGCTTCTTGCCCAAATCGCGGAGACGTAAGCCTCGGGTACGGGTAACTCGGCTTGGCCTGACGCGGCCATCAAGAAACTGACGAATCCTAGTCGGAAATTCGACGCGAGCTCTCGCTGCAAACATTTTACGACAACTGGGCCGTCCAAATCCGGGACGCGCTCGCCAAAGAGCGCAAGCGAACCCGAGTTCCCGCTCTTTGGGGGCCGCAGCGACTCGAAACTGGCCAAGAGCCGGCGCCTCCAATGTGTGGCGGAACCATGGAGCTCCGGGGCGCGGCGCGTTTCCTCCGTGGCCGCCTCGACCTCTTGCTGCCCCAAAACTCCCCCTCTGTGCGCTTGGCCCTCCGTCGCTCCAACGCCGCTCGAGCCCCGCGGCCGCAGACATCCCCGACGCGACGCGGCCGCGTCTCCTCTATGGCCGCCTCGACCTCCTGACCGCTGACCTCCTTCCCGCCGGCGGCCATGGGCGGCGGCGCCCTCCCCGGCGGGCGCGGGCCCCGGGGCGCCCCTCGGCGCCCCCGCGCGCAGCGGGCTGCGCGGGGGGGCGCAGGCGGCGAGGGCCTCTTCGGGCGGCGCGGCGCGAGGAGCCCGCACAAGGCAGGCTCGCGTTGCGGGAAGAGTCGGGGTGGGAGGTGTTTCCCCCCTCCTCCTTCTCATCCACCTCCTTCTCCTCCTCCACCTCCTCCTTCTTCTCGCCCGCCTCCTCCTCCTCCTCCTCCTCCTCCTCCTCGTCCTCCTCCTTTTCCTCCTTCAACTCCTCCTCCTCCTCCTCCTCCTCCACCTCCTCCTCCTCCTCTTCCGCCTCCCCACCTCCTCCTTCGCCTCGTCGTCGTCGTCCTCCTCCTCCTCCTCCTCCTCCTCCTCCTCCTCCTCCTCCTCCTCCTCCTCCTCCGTCCTCCTCCCCTTATCCTCCTTCTCCTCATCCTCCTCCTCCTAGTCCTCCGCCTCCTCCTCCTTCTCGCCCGCCTCCTCCTCCTCCTCCTCCTCCTCCTCCTCTTTCTCCTCCCTCCTCCTCCTCCTCCTCCTGCTCCTCCCTCCTTCTCCTCCTCTCCTCCCTCCTCTTTCTCCTCCTCCTCTTCCGCCGCGCGCCGCCGCCGCCTCCGCCTCCGCCTCCGCCTCCGCCTCCCGCCTCCGCCTCCCCCTCCTCCTCCCCCTCCTCTTCCTCCTCCTCCTCCTGCTCCTCCTCCTTCTCCTTCTCCTCCTCTTCCCCCCTCCTCCTCCCCAGACGTGCTCGCGTCATGGGCAAAAACCAAGACGGGAAATTTTGACCGTTTCTGGCTTCTCGGGGCCCTCGCCGGGCCCCGGGACTGTCAAAAAACTAGTCGGGATAAAAACTAGTCGGGATGAAAGACCAGCCCTGGAGAACACGTCGGGGCTTACAGGGACCGCGTATTGACGAACTCAGGACGTCGCATGTCTGGGCCGCTCCCGTCCAGAGAGTGCTGTCTTATTTTTCGCGATAGCGGCCGCCACCGGCCCGACGCCCCCGCCCCGCCCAGGTATTGCCACGATTCGTGCCCCCCCTCCCCCCACGCCCCCCCCCCCGCCCCCCCCGGGCCTCCTTCTCCTCCTCCTCCTCCTCCTCCTCCTCCTCCTCCTCCTCCTCCTCCTCCTCCTCCCCCAGGTAACTCCCGATTCTTCGGTTGTTCCCCAGCGGCGCCAACGCACGACGTGACGTTGCCGGCCCGGCGCAGACCCACGGAGTCCGCGCGGACCCCCGAGAACTTGATGGAAAGGCTTGTGCATCATGCGCCGCGCGGGTGCCGCGGGGTATGACTTCCTAGAGGCCTCCCAAATGGGGTCCGAGTAGATGGGGTCGGAAGATCGCGCCGCACCGCCGATATATCACCGAGACATCGACGATGCCTCGACGATGCATCGACGACGTCGACGAGGCATCGACGACGTCGGCGATGCGTCGGCGACGTCGGCGTGGAGAAAGTCGGGATCCATATCGAGCCGCACCGCCGATGCATCGGCGATGTGGCGTGATCCTCCGACCCCATCTCCTCGGACCCCATCTGGGAGGCCTAGAGCAGGGTAGGGCTTAAGCGCCCAACAATGGCAAGCAACAGTGAAATAAATACAAACATAGTGAAACAGTGTAATTTGCCTGGCACTGTGGCAAAATGCATGACATTTTTGCCTGGCGAATATGACTGCCTTGCACGACTTGTGTAAAGAATAAACGACGGCCCGCCGCTCATCTGGTGATGTCGCGAAATTGAACAGTGCCGAAACCGGGAAATAAGAGCGCGTTGTCACGGCTCGCGATAAGTGAGGACACCAGAACCCACCCCCATCCCCAGCCAGGATCCTTACTCCCGACCTGGTGATCCAAGGGGTCCTGGCCAGAAGTGGGGGTGGCTTGTTGGTTCCAAACAGCATGTTAGAAGCACCCGCAATCCTGACAAGGACCCCCTGGATCACCAGGTCGGGAAAAAGGGTCCTGGCTGGGGGTGAGGATGGGTTGTGCTGTCTTCAATGACGCCCGTTTCCGGGGACGCCCACTTCTGCTTGCGACTGCTTGAGCAAATGAATGCACTACAGCGTATCGCGAGACATGTCACATGTGCTAAACCGAACACGGAACAATTGTTGATGTGGCACGATAGACTGCCACGTGGAATGAGACATGTAGAGCGTATTCCGCAGATGGGACACCCGAAACAAATCCCCCGACCCTGTCGGCGTGTGTGAGAGGCCGTGCGAGACCATTGCAGAATCCAGCATGCCGGAGCGTTCCCAGTGCGAACCTCGCACTCCAAACCGAAACCAATCCAAGTCACCAGCCCACTGAGAAGGTCGCAATCTCGCCCGCGTGAGGGAAACCACCTCAAGTCGTAATCAACTCGAGAGAGAACCCCTTTCTTCCCTTCGATCCTTTTTCCCGCCGGGGTGTGTGGGGGGGTCCGTGGGGAGCATATCGCGCGAGCATTATAGATGACAACTCACTTGTGAATTAGATCCAACCCTCCCTATGGGCGTGAGTGGCTAAGGTTGTTTTCCTTTTTCCAACCCTCAGTCCTGCCCTTCGGGGAAGGGTTGATCACTGCTCCTGATTGATATATGTTAACAAACGTGGGTCCCCAACGGTGTGTTTCTGGCAATCCACGTAGTGCAAGATATGTGATGGAAAACAACTTGCAAACTATGTTGTGCACTATGTATGATGCAGAATATGTTGTACAATCTGTGTGGTGCAACCGATGTTGTGCACCCACCGTTGTGTAATATATGTGGTGCGATGTACGTGGTGCAATATATGTTGTGCACTATACGCAATACAACCTACGCAGAGCAATGTGCAACCCATGTGGTGCAGTTTGCTCGGTGAACTCTATTTTGCGCAAGCTGTGTAGTGCATTCTACGTGGTGCAATTCAACCAGCCGAATTTGAAGTTGTCAGCTCCTCCGCTTGCGCAAACATCCCCACCCATCCACCCGCAAGTCAGTTTGCAATACCCATGCGACGGCGATTGCCATGACTGCTCGGCGCTGGCTGACGCATCGCTGTGGCCCCACTAGCGCGCGCAAGCTCGCGCGCAGAACGGCCAGCCAGTCTGGCGCGACAGGCGCGGCCGCGGTGGCGGTAACCACTGGGCACTTTCCAGCGCGCTTCGCAGGCCGCGCCCACACGCGGGCACTTCCGTGCGAGTCGGTGACTCGGGCGGGCGCAGTATCGTGGCGACGTCGGCAACCACAGACGCGATGATGACAGTAGCGCCGCTGGTGACAAGGATGACGATGACGATGACGACGGCAAAGCCAATGGCGGCGCAGACGCCGATCACGCTAATGACAATGATGGTGTCCACGTGTCGGTGGTGAAAATTATAGAAGGAGTTCGAGATGCGTTCGCGGCCGGCGGGCGCGAGCGGCCCGCATGGTATTACTTACAAGATACCATGCCCCCCGACACGCGCGCAAGGGCGTTCGACTGATTTCGACACCCGCGAACCGAGGAGGCCCGTTTGGTCGCATGCATTGACAATGTTGGTATACCCATGGTGCTCGTGCGGATTCGCAAGAGCGCGCATACCTTTCTGTGAATACAAAACATGTTGCAAAACAACTGGTTATAATGTTCTGGGAAACTCGGTATTGAAATCCGCGCGAAAATGTTGATCAAGCGATTCGTTTCGTAAGAGTTCGCAAAACCGGGCAAACATCGTTTGACATGCCGTGTTGCGAAACCATGTGCGTTCGTGCATTCAATTTTTTCGAGCACTAGATTTTGAAATCATTCCGATACGTGGAACGCTTAAAAGACTCAGGCACGCGCGCGACGACAGGCCAGTGGGCGTTGTTCATTTTGCGGGTTGCCCGGGGTCCTGAAATTTGGCGATGTTTGGTTAATGGGTGCGCGCACAGAATAATTTGACAATGACAAAGGGCGGGCAAACCGGTGTGGCTGGGATAAATTGAACTCACCGATGGGCAAATTCATACGGTAACTGCCCATCCCCAGACTGGACCGATAACTTCGGGGGGGGGGAGGGCGGTAGATCCTAAATCCTTGCTGGACAAAAAAAGGAAATGCACCCTGCCGTGCTTGACGTGGGCAACTCCACTGCTCACGCAATCACCCCTCCCACCCACCCACCCGCAACTTAGTTTGCAAAACCCATGCGACGGCGACTGCGACGGCTGCGACGCTAACTGGCACATCGCTACAACGCGCTAGCGCGCAATTTCGTGCCAAACCGGCCAAATATGGGGGCGCGACCGACGCGGCCGCGGGGGCGTTGACCGCCAGGTACTTTCCAGTGCGTCTCGCAAGCCGCGCCCGCGCGCAGGCAATTCCGTGCGACTCGGTGACTCCTTTGAAATCCGCACGCAATAAAGTTTGTTGTGCAAAGGGCCCTGGAGTGCCCACGACGACGCGCGCGCGGGCGCTGCCCTCTCGTTTGCCAAGAAAACTTCAAGCACCTATCTGAAATGAGCAGCGGGGCAAAATCATATGCGACCTGCAGATATCCTGAAAAAGGGGCCGATGAGACCAGGGGGGGGGGCCCGAATTCCTCCATTGAAAAGAAAATCTATGCGATGCAGCCTGTGGCGCAACCTATGCGGTGCAATTAATTTCCCTTTCGCAGCGAGTGTTCAACCCCACTGCTCGCGCAACCGCCCCACCCGCGCACCCGCAACTTGCTTTGCGTGGGCACACACGGCGGCGATTGCGATGAGTGCGTGGCGCTGGCTGGTGCATCTCTGCTGCCGCGCTAAACCGCGCGTGCTCGCGCGCGCAGCGGCCAACTAGCTTGGCGCGAGCAACGCGGCCGCGTTGGCGCCGACCTCCGGCACTTCCCAGCGGGCGTTCACATGCGAGTCGGCGACCTGGGCGGGCGCGGTACCATAGCAACGTCGACATCTGTAGACACGAGGATGATAGTAGCTATGCTGGCGACGATGATGACAACGACGACGGCAAGGCCAGCGACGGCGCCGATGCTGATCACGCCGACGACGATGAC